TTTCTCCGCCCTGCCTGTACTTGTGCTTGGGATTGCCCTGACCCACGTGCAGGACCTTGCACTTGGCCTTACTTGCTTATCAATTAATTGCTTATGTAAACCCTCAAAGACTGAGAACTGAATTTCACTTAACCATAAAGCAAAGCAGATTATATAATTTTATTTAAGATGTATTATTATAAATGATAAACAACTATATAATCTTAATTATCTTTATAGCAATAAATAATATATCTAAAATAAATTTTTATAATAAATAATGTATGTTATTTATTTGTATAGTTATTTATAATTATGTATAGAATTTCTCTGGAGGCACTGATAGGTGTTTCAAAAGTGTCAGTAGTGGCATTAGTGTGGAATTACTCATTTGACTGCTGTTCTAGGTATACAATCTTTATTAAAAAGATAAAAAATGACCTGTGAATTTTTCAGATTCCGTTTGACTATATTTTTTAATCTTTTGACTGGTACTGCTAACAGGAAAGATTGTGAATATTCATTCCTTTTGAAATTAAGTTAATCATGAATTAAGAGTACTGGTAGTGAGACCTGGTAATTAGCATGAATCTTTCGTAAATGGTTCTGCGAAGATGTTTTAGAGGTCTAGCATCAAGCCCGTTCAAAAATTAAAAGTTAAGGAAATGTGTTCACATAAATAATTACTGTATTTCAATACCCAAGAGAGATAACTTGTACTCTGTATTGAAGAAGACTGATTCAAGGAATTCTTCAACAGATGAAAAACAGCTTACAATGATGAGAAATTCCATCCCTTTTTTACCTTCTTTTTCTATAGTCCTGGGATGTTACTTTCTTTTCACAATTTTTAGCTTGAGATAGAAGTTTGCATTCAAATGCTGAATAAGAATTCTGTGATCCATAAAAACAAATTAAGTACAATAATACCAAATATAAGATCGAGAGTGAAGACTGTTGAGTTCTCCAGACTCTTCATTGTTTAATTTTATTTTTATATTTCTCTTAAGGCACTAATACTTTTGATTCTCTTAATGTGTAGATGATTGAAATAAATGCAGCTAAACATGGCTTTGACTTCTAATTAGGAATTTAGTATTCTGAATAAATTCTGCAAGGGGTTTTCAGATTAATCTTTTCCAATTTAGCTCAGCCTGATGATAAATACTAAAATTTAAATATGATTGCATCAGTTCATCTGAATATCATAAAACCCTCAAACTTCTGTGGTACTTACTTGTGACAGGGACCTGGGTGTCATAGAATCATAGAATAGTTTGGGTTGGAAGGGACCTTTAAAAGTCTAACCCTCCTCTAGTGAGCAGAGACATCTTCAACTTGATCAGGCTGCTGACAGCCCTGTCCAACCTGACCTTGAATGTTTCCAGGGATGGGGCATCTACTAGCTCTCTGTGCAACCTGTTCCAGTGTTTTATCACCCTTACTGTCAAAAATTTCTTCCTTATGTCTAGTGTAAATCTACCCTCTTTTAGTTTAAAGCCATTACCCTTTGTCCTGTCGCAAGAGGCCCTGCTAAAAAGTTTGCCCCGATCTTTCTTATAAGCCTCCTCTAAGTACTGAAAGGCTGCAATAAGGTCTCCCTGGAGCCTTCTCTTCTCCAGGCTGATCAACCTCAACTCTCTCAGCTGTTCTTTGTAGGTGAAGTGTTCTGTCCTTCTGATGATTTTTGTGGCCCTCCTCTGGATCTGCTCCCATATCATGCCTTCATTTTAACTGAGTGTATGACTGTTTCCTGGGGAATTGTACAACTATGACCACCTTAAACTCTGATTCCCATCATAATGCCTGACTGCATAGTCCTCTGTGCAGTGTTAGTTCATAGAACAGAACTATAGAGTGTTGCATTAGAGCATAATAGTAATAAAGCCTGCCAAATCAGTCAAAAGCCTGAAAGGGGCACATAAGTTGCTACAAGACTGCTAAGATACCTAAATTTCTTCTTAGTTTTTAAAGGTATTATGATTAACTGTTCTCCTTTTTGCAACATATAATTAAAAATTAAGTGCTTAAGTTCACATTCAATGTTTAATGTTAAAAAGGGCCGTTTCTTAACAGTCTGATATATAACCTAATCTTTGTATTGTTTTTTTTCATTGTAACTTATGTCTCCTACGCCTCTGGATTTTAAGCAACACATTTTAACTGAGCATTTTAGGTTGGCAAAATACAGTTGCTTGCTTGTGTAGGCAGAACTTTCTAGAAACTGTATTGAAAATGCAACAAGTATGCCCTTTTTAGCCATTTAACCTGATCTCTGTATCTGTCAATGGTAGTGTATTTCATGTGATTTTTAATGGTGTTCTGTATTAAGATTACCTGTCCTTTTGATCCTAACTTTAATAACATTTTTGCTGAGGTGATGAACTGAATGACTCTCAAATCTTTTTGTTGTTTTTGTTGGTTAAGGTGAGCACTCCGGTGGTTACATCGACCACGCAGGAAAAGCAGAAGGACAGTGATCAGTTTGAATGGGTTACCATCGAACAATCAGGGGAATTGGTGTATGAAGCACCAGAAACAATTGCTGCAGAACCCCCACCGATCAAGTCAACAGTTCAGACTATGTCTCCCATACCCGCGCATTCTTTGGCTGCCTTTGGTTTATTTCTTCGTCTCCCGGGCTATGCTGAGGTGCTGCTAAAAGAACGGAAACATGCTCAGTGTCTGTTGAGATTGGTGTTGGGAGTTACAGATGATGGTGAAGGAAGTATGTGCTGCAATTACTATGTTTCTTTGTAGACCACGGCTAGATCATTTTACTTAAATTTATTTACACTGTAATGCTTTTAGCAGGAAGTTAGAATTGGTTTGTGCAGAGCTGCGATACTAGCATCTTTAATAGCCTGTTATCTCTAAATATTAAATTCTGTCTGGCAAAGTTTTGTCACAATCATCAGCATTCAAGTGTTCTCATCTAGATGTCAGAGTAATTGTAAAATAACTGCTGGTTAAACTTAAAATGGCACTGTCAAGATGACAGTGCATTCAGACAAGAACCATCTGAGTAGCTGGATACGCTCAGCTAATTGAGCAAACATCTTATCATTCTGAAACCAAATGCAGAATAGTGTGGAAAGGAGCATACCTACAGCTGATGTAGAATAAACTGTTGAATAATACTGTTTTAGAAAAGGAGAGAAAGATCTAAAGATCATAGTGATCAAATTAGTTGAGCCGGAGCTCTACCTTAATGGTGTGAGTTCAGAGGGAGAAATGGGATATTCTCTGATGAATGAACAGATGAGCCAAGAGACAACTTTTAGTCAGTGTATTTGCAGCTGAACCTGGAATTCTGCATATAGTTCTAATATTTGTATTTCTTAGCATTTTGAAAAACTGTAAGAGTGTATGTGAAAGATGTTTTAGTACTTTTAAGACATTTTATTATGACTTTGAAGAGAACGCTGGTTTTTCTATGAAGCAATCAACTGCAGCTAGTGTCTATTCAGCATCCTGTAGAGTGGTTGACAACGTGTAGCTCATAAGACCGAGAAACTAAGAGTCTTACTGTCCCTTCTGTTTATCTTTTTATTTCTCTTGTATTTAGGTACAGGACAGTAAACAAGAACAAACTGGATAACAAAAATTCCTGGCTGCTTACTCCCACTTAATTTGAGTAGCAGTTAATTGAAGGACTGTATGCAGTCCCTCAGATTTTTATGTCCTCGAGTGGTTCCAGTCTCTTGCTATTGCAAACAATTTTTATATACTTGTTCTTTTTTATATATATATAAAGAGATCAACTGGGTTGCTTTCTTTTTTATGTGTGTGCGTCCACTATTGCTATTGGAATACAGTTCCAAAACATCATTTTCCTGATAGGAAGGGGCTGCTTTGATTTTCAGCCTAAACTCAGTTATATCCAGTTTGTGCCCATTTATCATTGTTCCTCATCGTAAATAGCTCTTCGTTTTCCAATGCATTTGTTGACAGGAATTATATTCCCTCTTAACCTTTGTTTTTGCTGGACAAAACAGCCACTTTCTCCATTTCCTAAGTCAAATGTCTGAATGCAGCTCTTTACAGAATGTGGGATCAGTTGTACACAGTAGTCCACTTTAATTCTCTATATAAAGCATTAATGTTTTCCTTTTCTGTTGGAAATGCATCTTTTCATACATCTAGAATCTCTTTACTTCCTCATGTAATATAAAAAGCTGCACTTAAAAATCTATGGCTTACAGACTAAACATGGATTCAATTGTCTGCAAAGATAAATCATGAGCAAATGTTTAGATTTTCGTTTTATTGGTCTCCTTGTCATTTGGCTACACCTGCAGTTCTGGAATTCTATTAGATGGGCTTTTTTCCAGATGTGGACAGTTTTATTTATGAAGATCTCAGTCAGAGGGCTTTCTGCTTCTTTCTTGTTACTGTCTTTAAGAAGAGTATCAGATAGATATTAATTAACTCGTGTGTGTATGTGTGTGTAGATACATATGCATACAAATATAGACATACATATTTGTAATGTATCTCAGTTTAGACCTCTGGATGATGATATAGCTGATAAACTCTAAGAATGAGGGAGAAAATAATATAAATATACTCAAAATAAGTAGCAAACTTTTGAACAGAGTTGGCTATTTTGAAGTATTTTTAGTATTTGAAGTATTTTCAGTTGTCAAATATCTCTATTTACATATGCACTAAGAAAGGAATGTGAAATGCATTGTTAAATACAGAAAAAATTGAAACAGTTTCCTGAATCTGCGAATGTTGCATTAATAGGTCACTCTATTATTTGAAAAGAAGTAGTTTTTATGCATAATGCAAAAGGGTTAAAAATTTAAAATAATTCTACAACAAAATACAAACATGCAGCTCATCTAATTAAAATTATGTTAGTATTTCACTATGTATTCAACTTGAATAGCATCACTTCTTGGATTGTGTCAGTAACCTAATTCCAACTTTAAGAGCATGAATATGAAAAAAAATCCTACCTTATGATCCACTACAGCTCCTTATCAAATGAACTACTGTTAGCTGACCATGTGCACTCTTTAACTTGCTGCAGCTGAAATGTTCAAAAACCCCAAAAATAGTCTGAGCCACCTTTGTTTTCCTCATTCAGAAATGCAACCTGAAGTGCAGTCAAATACAGAAATATACTCACTATTACTCGTAAACAAAGTTTTGTCTCGGGGAGTGGCTAATCAGATTTTATAACTTTGGTTCTTAACCAAATCCATAAAGGAAATAAATAAGCAGTATTTCTACACTCTTGCTGCAAATTTTTTGTGAAGAGAAACATAATATTAGATAGCTTACTACATGCGAATGCTTAAGTCCTTACTAGATTTATGTATGTGTTGTTTATAACCTATTGCAGAGATTAACAGGCTGTGTTGAACTGTTGAAAGAAAATGTGGTTTTGATGATGTTGTTCTTCAATCTAGGTCATATTCTGCAGTCTCCTTCAGCAAATGTGCTTCCAACTCTGCCCTTCCACGTGTTGCGCAGTTTGTTCAGCACTACACCGTTGACCACTGATGACGGAGTACTGCTTAGGCGGATGGCACTGGAGATCGGGGCTATACATCTTATCCTCGCTTGTCTGTCTGCTCTAAGCCACCATGCACCAAGAGTGCCCAACTCTAGTCCCAACCAGGCAGAGGTAAACTTAGCAGCACGATAATTGCCACTGAGAAGTAATAAGAGTTGTAACTACAGAAAGGAAAATAATCTCATTGTTTTCATTATAGTCTGCAGAGTTGGAATTTGAATGAAGAACAAAAATAATTAGAAAGTACTTGATTAAGTAATTGTCCTTTCGTGTTGCAAATAAACATAGTAATCATGAAGGAAGGCTTGTCATGAGGCATTAAGGTGTAATCAGTTTCTTTCACAGGTCCTTCTTTTTCAGTGCATGAGAGGCCTAATGCTAAATGGATAGTGATTCTTTAATCCTCGTTAGATAGTGTGACCTCATTACCTTATTTAGGTAATTAATTCATGCTCTAAACTCTACTGTTTAGAGAGTAGATAGGCTACAAATTATTTTCTCTTAAATGCTTCAGAAACGTAAATGAGTTGTGAAAATTAATGAATTAATGCAGTGTTTGGGTTTTTTTTAAATATCCTTTTTATGGATGGGGAAAAGAGATGTAAAGACAAAAATTTTTCATAGTCCTCAAGATCCCAAGTGAATCTCCAAAATTAAACTTTTTTAAGGTACTTCCCATGTTATACCACCCTCTGTTCAGAACATGTATGCCCTGGATTTTTTTTAGGATTATGAGTTGCCATTTCTGCATAACATACCAGTTGTCTATAAAAGTGTTTTAAAAAAAATAGTGACTTGCCCTCTTTCAGCTTTGTTGTGACAGAGGCTTGCATGAAAAAGTTCCTGGTGGCTAAATATGGCTAAGTAGCTGCAAAATACAGGGTTGTCTGTATTTTAGCAACACTGATACTGATGAGGGGTTGAGCAAGGAAGAGATGAAGCTGTGCCTGAGAATAATTCATTTTAATGGCTAGTCAGACTTAAGGGGAAGCGGAGATATTTTGCTTCTAATGAGGTATCAGGCTGCAGACACATTAACACCTTAGCATTTTTGCGCTTTTGGAGGGAAAGGGCAACCATTAATTCTTATCTCTACTTCGGTTTTACTATGACCCCTTGAACAGCTTGCTTTCTCAGAATTCATATCTATCAGGTGATAGATGATAATTTGAAGCTAGAGATCCATCAGGCCTGCACTGGGACTTGTATTTCTGAGGCCAGGCTTTCCCTCAAGTGCTGTAAGTCAGTGCTCATGACAGTCCTCTTGAGTGTTAAAGGCACAACATGTTCATGAGTGATGTAGTGAATAATGTCTACATGAGAATAAACACACAGCTATTTCATCATTGAGATGCATTACATTTCCAATGTAAAAGTTAAATGGTGATTCCAGACTACTGTCAGTATGGTACTTCGTAAGTGATAACTTTTTTTACCATTGCAGTCTGTTCATTAATAATTTCTTTTCCTTCAAGTGTAATCTTTAACAAAGTCACTGAAGAAGATCTGATCAGAAAATGGAACTTTTCAGAGCCCTAAATTAAATGTTACAAATTAAAGTTGGGCACCTACTCACATGACCTGATTTTCCAGTAATGCTGTGTCTCAGAACATTTTAAGGACAAGATATTTTCCTCCTCTTATCTGAAGAGGAAATAGGGTGTGTTTCAGTGACCCAGAGATCATGTGTGAGAGCTATACATGGAACTTACACCTCTTGCTATTTTGGAGCATTTATTCAAAATCAGCACATTCTTGAGCGTTCTAACATTTCAACTGTGCGCTTTAGATAACATTTCTATTCCCATCTCCTTCATCTAATTACGTTATTAAACTTCACTCGGTGTTAAACTAATAATTACAGAGCTGTGATGTTTAGCATGATATTGATTAAGTAGCATTTTAATACCTTTCATCATTTAAGTAGTGACAGTATCTTAAAACAGAACAAAAATGGGCTTACAGTCCTAGTCAAATTGAAGAATCACTTCAAACAATTTAGCGCTGACCTGTACAACTACTCCATGTATATGGCAGAGTCTTTCCTGTCTAAAGCTTTGAATTTCACTGGATCTTGATAATATCTATATAAAGATAATAATTTGGGATTACATTCTTCTGCAGAACAATGGTTTTCGAAAGACAATGTTCATAAGATGAAAAACATGAAATTATTGTGACTTTTTTTTTTTTAACTTAGCCGCAAGTGTCAAGTACACACAACAGTGCATCAACAGAAGAACAGCAGTTATACTGGGCTAAGGGTACAGGCTTTGGAACAGGCTCTACAGCTTCAGGATGGGATGTTGAACAAGCTTTGACTAAGCAAAGACTAGAAGAAGAGCACGTGACCTGCCTTTTACAGGTGTGTAATAGTGAAATTTTGATTAACGATAGGCACCTAAAACACTAGGACTGGATAGTAAAAACAGAGCTCGTAGTTTTTCAGTCATATATCAGAGTAATTATGGTATTTGGGGCAAAAAATAATTTACAACCGCCTGTCTACCTGAAAAATTATATGGATCATATTTTGAGTGAGGCTGTTTTCAAACATCACTAGGCTGCTGCATAAAAAAGTCCTGCATGGGTAAGCCTGGGTGACAGTTCTGAATAGATCGTGACCCAAGAAGCGTTCCAGTGTATTTCCCTGGAGCTGTCATGTATCTCTGTAGACATCGCTGTGTTCAGTCAAAAGTGAAGACTGTCCATTAACGGAGGAGGATGTGGGAATAGGCATTTTGTTTTGTGTGCCAATTAATCTTACCTGTTCATTTCTCTTATGCTTTTGCTCTGCTTTAAGGAAATGCCCATAGCTGTTACTAGTTAGTGTCCAGGAATATGTTATGCTAATATAACAAAATCTCATTCAGACATACTATAAAATTGAGAATGTCAATTAAATTATGATAGTAAGTTACCAGTAAATATCCAAGTCTTAATAAAACTCTGATTCCTTCCAAATACCTCATGCTAAGGACAATAAAATCCTGCATAATTAAGCTTTTCAGTCCATTGTGAAACGCGATGAACCCCTGTTATCTTAGGACAGTAGAAAATGAGATTTTTATCTAGTCATCAAAAATTTCATTCGCAGAACTGTGAGCTCAAATGCATTAGCTAACCTTACTGCTGGGGTAAAGCACAAAGGAGACGAAATTCTGAAAATGCCTATGCTCTGCCTGATGAAGGTATCATTTTGATGTAGTCAGTTATTTTGATCAGTGTAGATTACAAGGCACAAGTATCACATTCCTTGCAAAAGCAAAACAAATAAAATTCGAAACAATTTTCCAAAGTAAGAAAGAAAAATCACCTGAATTATTCTTGGCGAAGCTTCTAGGTCATATTCTGTATTATGCCATGCAGAGATTTAGCTGTAACTGTGATAAGTCATGAGGTAAGGAGGCATTTGCTGTGGGCAGTCAGCAATTGGAGGAAGAAGTAGAAAACCCTTCAGCATTTTGGTGAAGATGTCAGTCAGATGTACAGCAGACTTTTCCTGGTCTTTCTTCTAGAAAGGTTGTTTAGAAAAATTCAGTTGTATAGAGTGCTGATAAGATGTTGCAGCAAAATACCATGGGCACTGGGCTTAGAGCAAAGAGGGAGAATGGAAGAAAGGAGAAGAGTCTAAAAAGGTGAATAGAGCCCCTGAGACTTCAAATAATACAGCCTTTCAAGCCTAGAAGTTACTTGATTTGAGAGTACAATGGCACAAGTCAGACCCATGGAAGTGCATTAGGCTGTACGTCTACAATACACGGGAAGGACCTGTGAACTCAGCCGGAACTACCCTTGGGACCAGCCGGTGTGCCATCCCGAGGTGACTCCCCCACCCTCACCAAGGGGAAGGCTGTGCTTTCTTTGTCAACTGAAACAAGACCCCTGCTCACAAGTGGTTGTTCCAAGTAACTGACAACAACAGTAAGTTGTTGTTTCATCTGTAAACCCTGAAGTCCCACTCAAAAGGAAGGTACAAGTGTTTTTAAAACATTTGCAGTTTAAAAAAAAAAAAATCTTTTTTTGCTAGTGGGTGTTCTGAAGTGAATGGGATTGATCAGCTGTGTGTCTCAGTGGTGTGAGCTGGCGAACTGCTGCTTTCGGTAAATCCAGCAATTTTGCCAAAATTCATATTAATTGATCTCTTAAAGTCATTCAGAATTATAATAGCTATTCAATTTTAGAATTAGCCAAAGTTGAAATCGTAATCTAATAACTATATAGAATTTCTTCTGAGAGATCTTTGAGACTGCTGAAATAAATACCAGTACTGAATTAGCAAAATAGCTAGTGAAGTATTATGGTGTATTCCTCAAGGAATGAAAGTCAAAGTTCTTTTCCCTTTAAATAAATCAGGTTTTATGTAATATTTTTATGTATTTCAGGTTCTTGCCAGTTACATAAATCCTGCAGGGAGTACATCAAATGGAGAGACCCAAACAAGCCATGAGGGAAGAGGACAAAACAGCAGTGCTCTTCCATCCGTTCTCCTAGAGCTGCTCAGTCAATCTTGCCTCATCCCAGCGATGTCATCATACCTCCGCAACGATTCAGGTAATGTGCCTCTGTCTCCTTCTAAATCAAAGTTGGCTTACTTGTGTCAAATAAGTTTTTATATAAACAATAGGTAGTTCTGGCTAGCTTCAGTACCTTTGCCAGTTTAGAATTCTACTAATGGAACATTCACTTGAGCCTTAGAAAACAAAATTGAAATGTTTGTTTGGTGTGAGTTTAAACTTTATTCTTTTAATGTCTTTTTTAAATTTGAAATTAATTCTTAAACTGTTGAAATTAACAGGAAAATAGTATTTCCATCTGAAAGTTTGTACTTGGGAGTACTGGTGGACGAGAAGCTCAATATGAGCCGGCAATGTGCTCTTGCGGCCCAGAAGGCCAACCGCGTCCTGGGCTGCATCAAGAGGAGCGTGGCCAGCAGGTCGAGGGAGGTGATTCTCCCCCTCTACTCTGCCCTCGTGAGACCTCACTTGGAGTACTGCATCCAGTTCTGGAGCCCCCAACATAAGAAGGACATGGACCAGTTGGAGAGGGTCCAGAGGAGGGCCACGAAGATGATAAGAGGGCTGGAGCACCTTTCCTATGAGGACAGGCTGAGAGTTGGGGCTGTTCAGCCTGGAGAAGAGGAGGCTCCAGGGTGACCTGATAGCGGTCTTCCAGTACCTCAAGGGGGCCTACAAGAAAGATGGGGAGAGGCTGTTCAGGAGGGCCAGTTGTGATAGGACAAGGGGTAATGGTTTTAAAATAGAGGGAGGTAGATTCAGATTGGATATTAGGAAAAAATTTTTTACCATGAGAGTTGTAGAACACTGGAACAGCTTGCCCAGAGAGGTGGTGGATGCTCCATCCCTGGAGACGTTCAAGGCCCGGTTGGATGAGGCCCTGAGCAACCTGATCTAGTTGGAGATATCCCTGTTCCTTGCAGGGGGGTTGGACTAGATGACCTTTGAAGGTCCCTTCCAGCCCTAACCATTCTATGATTCTATGAATTAAGCAAATGCCTGTGTAGAGGTAATGGCAAAACCAGCAGACTGGGTTTGTGATTTATGTTCAGTCGTGCTAGAGGACAGGCTTTAGTGTGAAAATACTGTAACCATTTTTTCTTCCGATAACTGTCACGCTGAAGTTTTTAAACACTGCCTTAGTCTTAGGTTGAATTCTTGTTTAGTTGCTTTATAAGGATGGATTTAATCCCAAAGTAGCAGAAGTTGTTGTTCCAAATCTGAATAATTTGGGTTTGGACCCTTATTTTGCTTGCCCTGGTTTTGAAGTACCTGCTAAATGTCTTGTCACATTACTGGTTCTCGTGAATGCTGGTTGTAGGGTGTGGTGATGTTAATTTCTTGAAACAACGTCATAGCTTCTTGTTGAGTTAGACGCTATATTTTATCTCCGGTGTAAAAGAGAAATCATCTGTCTCTTAAGTATTTACAAAGCTACGTAGGACTAAAACAAGAAAGTGGCTCTTTTAGTCTGTGGTAACTAGGGCATTACATAATCTTGTATGATGGAATGGAAGTAGTTCAAAAAGTCTACTGGGGCCTTGTGGTAAAAATAAAAATATGAAGATGTTTTACTTGCCAGTCCACAGTTTGATACCTCTCCCTAATTTTGCAAGGAATTTGTTTGTTCTATTTTGCACAAATTACAGTGAGGAAAAGAAACTCTGTAGCTTGTACACCAGGGTCATTATTGCAAATCAAAATCTAATGTAAAACAATAAGTTATAAAGTAAAGCAATGAAATAATCTTTCTAACAGATACTCATAAATTCTTCTTTGTTAAGGTGGAAAGGAAAAGTCACAGAAAGACCTGGCAAAAATGCTATGTTATCTAAAGGATGAAGCTGTTGGTTCTGAGTTATAGATCAATCGCAGCTGTTGAAATTGATTCTTGCTGTTTTCAATAGAAAATCTTATCTGTCTGTATAAGTCACCTTTTAACTGAGGAAGAACAGTCAGATACTGATAGAAGAGATGAGATATGTGGCTACTGGAGAGAAGTTCAGGCTAGTTTGGCTTTCAGGGACCATTTGTTTTCCCAAAGTACAAAGGGAAGGCAAAGTTACAGTGGGAAATGTTCATTTTAGCTGTTTTTTACTGCTGGACTACTGTTATTTGTGATTAGCAGGGTTGTTTGTATGTTGTGCTTGTGAAATAAAAATTAGTAAACAAAGCAGATAGTTCCTGCTTTTTCATAAATTATATTATAATATAATATATAGCATTGTTATGCTTTATACATTGATCCTAGCAATAGTTTTGAATGCTTCCTGCTGTATTTTTGCTCAAATTCTATACATAAACCTATAACTAACAATGTTCTGGATTAAAAAAAAAGAAGCTTTGCAGGCTTCTGTTGGTCAAGCTTGTCTTTGAGAATGTAATAGGATATCAGTATGAGGGGGAAATGTGCAAAAAGGCATGACTTCTGGACATACTGTCTTCTCTTCGTGAATATTAGAGTCAGATGCATTTAGTCTGAAAGGAGACCCTGAAAATAGTTTGCCTTAGTGATGGCCAGGCATAATTCCAATGCAGTAATTACTCTTTAGTTCAAAAGCAGACGGATAATTCTTGCATTAATGAGTCTGAGTTGCAGGTGATGCTGGGGCTCTCAGTGTCACTAACAGAGTGTCAGGAAATATAGCTGACAGAGCCTGGCAGTCGCAAGAGAGAGAAGCTCTGGAGCTGTGTTAAGCTCTGGTACAATGCTCGTAAGACTAAAAAAATTCCTTCTCCGATAGGGCTGAATGCCTACTCAGAGGGAGCAGGAAAAGGAACAGCGTTATTAGTAACACTCACGTATGTCTACTATCAGAATGTACTTTCATGTGGAAGAAGCAGGTAACTGTATTCTTCCTGAAACATGCTGGACTCAGAAATTAGGACACTGCATACTGAATGCTAATAGTGTGTTCCCAGGTTCTGGCACTCCAGCAGGTACAAGCTGTGCCCAGCACAGTGCTGACAGAAAATGGCAGTTTTCAGCAATTCTAACTTTCTCGAACTTCAATGGATGTTAGTGGTACCAGTTGAAGGTTATCCTTCTGCTGGAGGTATTCCTCTACTAGATTCTTGGTGTTGCTGTAAGTGGTTGCAATAACTGTTATCTTCTCATATTACGTTTCTGCCATATGCATAAAATCGTGGGAAAGTTTTTCTGTGAAGAAGTACAATATGCAGTGAAGCTGCTGGGTGTACTGTTTCCCTTTATTGCACAGTAGACTGATAACACTATGGTGTTACAAGATAGTAAGTGTTCTGGTGTCAATGAGAATTTTGCATGTGGTTTAAACATGTTCAGTTAGCTACAAGATACATTCTGCTTGCAAAGTTGTTTTGGCAAAATTCTTCAACAGTTTCAGTGTCAGAATATCAAATTGGCCTTTCTCACAGTTGGAAATTTGTCTAGGATTTTTTGTTGCTTAAATATGTTTTGCCATCCCTGCTCAATTTGCCCAAAACATACGTGGACTAGCTTATCATCTAGGTTGTTCTAGATAAAAGGAATATTGATCAGATAAATGGTATGTGAGCACTCCTTAATCTTTTAGAAACCTCATCTTGAAGCAGATCTTTACAAACCAGATTGCTCTGACACATTCTGCAGCTTCATCTGCATCAGAGCAAGGTGATTGTGAAGTCCTTGAAAACTGTGAACTGACCACTTTAATTAATTTCCGTAATTGCTTTTTTTCTTATAGAGAGAGGTTTATCTGACTCTGAAGGACTTTCCTTATTATGCAACGTAGATCATAGCTCTAGTCACAAGGAGCAATAGCTGCTGTAATCCTTGCCCTGTTTCTTGATCACTTTTTCCTGTGTTTGTTTTGTATCTTGATATGGCATTACCGTGGCTCTTTCATTTTACAAATGAAAAAAGTTTATCTTTGTAACATAGTGAGTTTGGTTTTTTTTTTAACATTTGTGCTTATTCCTAAGCACTCAATTCATGTTTACATTGGTATCATGGAACATCTAGCGTGTATTAATTGCTAAGCGTTTATGCACATTTGACACCAAAACCTGGCATTTAAAAAAAAAAAAACAAAACAACACCAAACAACAAAAAACCCACAACAAAACAAAAAACCCAAACCTGTTGTCTTGTATGCAGCGCATTTCAGTAATTGAAAGAGTTACCACTGTAGGAACTCTTTCAAATATGTGAACGTTTCTCTCCTTGAACAAAATGCACAATAAAACTTGTGCCACACAACAGGAAGTGCCCAGCAAATGTGTGACTGTCAGGTTCTAACTAGAGTACATGGCTATCTTGCAGGTTTGGATTTTTCTGATAAGAGTAAGAGTTACCTGACTGATGGACCTAGGTTTATGAAGACTAATACAAGCTACTATTTACAAGTGGGAGAGAAGGCAGCAGTAGTCATAGTGGTCTTTGTAGCTAACAAGGTTTATAGTGAGAAGACAGTGGCAGGGAATCATTAAATAGCAGGAAAATCAAGTGTCTTTTAGGACAGAGACTGTAGGTTTCGTTATGGGCTTGGCCAGTAAAAAGCCCATGAAGCTGGGATTTTTCAGTGATACCACAACTTTAGATAGACTATTCTTGCTTTAAAATGTAGTAAACTAGTGTCTAGCAAACCCTGAGGTGACTTTAAACAAGATTAAGCTGAAGAGTGACAGAGGTTTGATACCACCTCTTCCTTGGAAGACAGACCTCATAGCAAGTTGCAGAATTCTGCCTGAACTATCTTTGCTTCAATTCCCACACCTACAGAAAGCAGGTGATGTTGTGATTTTAGCTGGGGTTTTCTTTCAGCCCTTTCTTCATATGCTCCCCTCCTAGCCACCCTTCCTTTTTTGCTGGACAAAGACTCCATGTGATGTGGTAAGCATAGTTTGTGATGGTGCATTAGCTCAGTCTTCTTTGGGTTTGACTGCTGAGAAGAGATGACGCATTTCTATGTGAGAGTTTTACTAAAAGGATTGTGTTTACTGACCACCATGTCCCACTTTGCAAGAGTCCAATATTTGCTTTTAACGCATCTTTTGTAGTGTATCAAGAACTGTCACACCCTGGGCTTGTGGATTCATTAACAGTTGTGCTGCTTTATCCCACTGCCAAATACCTCAGTGTGAACGTTATTTAGTAACTGCTATGGACAAATCTGTTGAAAGTGAACGTACCGAATTCTTTTTTCTGCGTCTTTCGATACACCTTTGCTAGTTGAGTCCATTAAAGTCATACTTTTCAGGTGTCGCCTCCTTGCCTCAGAGCTTGAACTGTGCTAGATTGTGTGCTGAAGTTGGAGTGTTTCTTTTCTGTTAATCATACTGATTCTCAAGGCATTATATGATGTTGCTTTAGTTTTTGCACAGTTGTCCAGTGCGGTGGAGTGAGTAGGCTGAGTACTTCAGGAAGGCTGTGTTCCCTTTTGGGTCTCTGAAGTTGGTGCACTGAGTTCATTCAGCTGAGAGCACTACATCTTTATTCATCCGTGGCTGAAGGTGTGAAGGTGCTACTGCAGTATAAATTTTGAGTCGTCGTGAAACTCTACTTTTCCCTAGGCTTTTTACTGTGTCTGATAAGAGGTAGTTGCTGTTAAGATATTTTTTTGTTGTTGAGATTCTTATGCATATATTGGATTAAACGTGTAAGCACAGAGCTGTGTATTGGAGCTCATTTCACTAAAGTTAGACTTAAGTCCACATGAGTACAGAGCACAAATACTACCTGTTAAGAGAGGATAGCAGAATGCTGTTTTAAAACAAAATATGCTGGGTATATGCCATATGCCAGTGCAGCCTCTAATGATAATATTACACTGTGACTTCCTTCAAAGGGTCAAAGCCTTTTGCTATAAGCAAAATTAAAAGTATAATGGCAGTTTAGATAGGCAGCATATAATTACCGAAATGAAAAATTCCACTAGTTTTCATTAATGTCAGTGAACTAATTCAGTGGTAGAAGAATGATGCTGAACCTTTGCCACGTTTGATTATAACATTGTGATTGTTTTTAATATATTTTGCTGTTGAAGTGTTCACAAAAAAGGTGCAGTATCTCACTCCAGTGCTGGAAAACTAGTTGATTCACAATTTTGAGAACAGAGCTATGCACTGAAATGACTTGAAATAAAACTGTTTATTTGTTTCACAGAATTGACAATTTTAAATAACTTCAGGATCAAAATAAACAGCAGTAATTTCTACCTGAATTTCATATTTCTGCTCAGTTTTCAGGTTCTTGTAACCTCTCATTTTAAGACCCATCTCAAATATCCCTGCATTATGAGATTAATGCAATAATATCCATAAGTATATAGATATAAGAAGTACATTGAAAAACTGAATAATGTACTGACTCTATTCTACAATCTTAATAAACATGAATAACCTCCATAATTTCTCTAGGAATGTAGCTTAGTTTTACAGAATGCTTTGGTGCTTCATATACTGAAAATGAGTATACAATACTAGAGTTTTGCTGTAGACTATGGATAGTGAATAAATCTTCTTGTCTGCACATTTCCTTCCAGTGCAGCCTTAGATCTGTTTGATTTCTTCTGGATGAGCCACTGTTGACTCAGAGTGGCAAAACCAGAATATATACCATCTTCCATTTCATTCGTCCATAAATCAGTGTGCTACAGCATAGTTTCTGTACCTGACTGAAATATCGTTGCCAAATTCATTGTGTTCTAGATCACTGACCTTATTTTATGCATGTGCTTGTTTCAAACCGACTTCCAAAGGCTCAGTTGGTTTAGCAGTTATGAAGTTCTACACAGTAACAAGCTATTACCTGTACAAGAGATGTATTTCTTTGCTTGTCATTTTATGGAAGGACTGAATGTAGCCTTGCAGCCTAGGAGAAAGCATTGAGCTCATTTTTAGAAATGTAGCTCCTCGATTGTTCCTCTGTGGCACTTGTAGTAGTAAGAATGGTATTTACTGAAATCAATGCTTCCTTTTTTTTTAGTGTTGTTTTTCTACTGTGTTTTTAATCCTAAAATCTCAAAAGTAACTTTTTTTTATTAGAAGGTATGTTCATGTATATAAAAGCTTCTATGATCTCAGACTGTCTGCAGCTTTGGATCTAATTCAAAGATATACATAGGTTTAATTTAAAACATGGAAATAATTTAACCAATTTCAGTAGTCTAATTGCATGTTCCATGAAGTTGCCTAAGAGTTGCAATTCTAGGCCTCAATGATAAATGGTACAAAAAGGGAAAAATGTCTTCCAGGACCTGGTCCAGAAAGAGAGAGTACGCTCTTCTGGGCAAAGATATTAAACCATGCAACACCATGAATCCTTGTGTGATATGTTTTATTTTACTCGAAAATAAGCATCAAGATGAAAACATGAAAGCTATATTTGTCTTATGTTAAACGTATTCTAAAAATTGCAATATAGAAAATGTAACTTGAGATTTTTTTTCATTTGGAAAATATGTATTAGTGTGTCATTGTAATTATTAGTATTTCTTAAAAGAAGTACTGAAACTATACTTCATTTTTTCACACCACTTTAAAGGATTTTTAATTAGAAAAGCACATCGTCAATATAGCATGATGATTTCAAATACGGATTCAGTAAAGGCAAGAAAATCTAACCTTTTTCAGCTTTCCACAAGACTAACAAAAATGCTGCAGAATATAGTCAATAGTTGAAATTTTATTTATAATATCACAATTTTTGGTATAACAGTGTTCCTGTTTCCACGCCTATACATTAGTGTAAATTATAAGCCTAAATTGTGGTGATCTGAAAATAAAACCCTTTTGTCTGTTTTCTGGTCTCAGCTACGAAGAGACATATTGCACAAAACCATAGAAAGCATCATGGGGCTTGCTTTTATATGTATTTATATATTTAATTAATCTCTTTCTATGTTCTGATTGTTTTCAGTGTTTGCTTACATTTCTTGTGTCTTGCATGTTTGTTGGCAATAAGACAGTGCCATCTCTGTTTCTGCTATTTGGATTTCATCTGTTATCAATGAGGACTTGAGTATCTTCTGCCTTCATTTACGTAGTTTAGCACCCTAGCTGGGCTCGCAGATACATTTAGCAGTCATTGATGCAGGGCCCTTAGCCAGACACTTTGCTCTGGAATGTTTTTGATAATCTCACACGGTGGGGTTTTTTTTTGCTTTAAATTTAGAAATCATTCTTACCATTGCTGGTCTTTGCACTGTGTGCTGTGCAACCGATGTTCAAAAATGTCATCAAAGTGTAGTGTAGATGTACACGAAAACAATAACAAATAAATTGAGCACAGTTCCAATAATCCCAAGCAGTGCTAAAATAGATTCTTCTTTTTCCTCTTTCTCCTCTTGCCTTTTTACATCTTCCAGTGTTGTGATGGCAGAGGTCCCCATTTTTCCTGCAAATACCTTCACCAGTATTCTGGCAGCTAGCTAGAAGAAAGAAAGCAAATGGTAAATCTGGTCTGACAAACATGCAAGCTTTGATCTTATAAAAAACAATTCTGTACTTTACAGGATATTTCTTAATGCTGTATTTATTGAGTTGTATCCATCTTTTGTTTTCTTTTTGTATGAATATGTCTATGTAGATACAGATTTGATAGGAAGAGTGAAAAATAGCTTGATGCTTCAAGCCAATTAATATGCTTTACTATAAAATAAATTTAAAATTTGTCTTTAGCCAGATAATTTGTTTCCTTACGAAACATCAAATCGATGAAAGCAGTTAATGTGGGCATTGTCGAATACTCAGAAATGCCTGGGGAGATTATGTGAGTTTTCAGCTGTTGTTAAATATTTAACTGTCACAGTACAAAACCAGTTGAAAATATTCATGTCTACTGTTTTCGAACATGGAAAATATGCCTCCTTAATACAGTATCACAGTCTTTTTTGACCAGTGAGCCCTAAGTAGGCAATTGCAGGTGAGATCTTATCCTTTTCTTGTTTAATAGATCAGCTTTTGAACGGCCATGCAACAGTAAACATTTAACAGAAAATGTCTGTCTCTCTTCAAATATTAAGGTTGCTGGTTTTATTATATATGCTTATTATTGCAGTATGTCAAAGGACAGTAGTACTTTTATAGTAACAAAAGTCTATGAAATATAGGGATTCAAGATAGATATTTACAGATGCGTATATGATTTATTACCTTTTTTGTTGCAAAAGTGAGGTTGACAGGTCGTCTCTATTACTGAGCTGCTCTTAGACTCTTAATTTACAGTCAAATATCCTCTAGAAACATATTCTCTGTAAAATTATGTTCACTGGTGACTGAGATGTTGATATTATATGTAATCTGCTATGCTGTTTTAGCTTTATTGATCAGAAATTTCTAACCTTAAACCAAAATTTGACTGGGATTTCTATTAGTTCAGATAACCCAAATTTACTGAAGATTTGCAATCACATTTTATAGTGCAACAGCATTTTTCTGTCTTGGCAAACATCTTTAATCATTAGAGATAAACGTATTTCTGCTGTGAGTCTAATTAAAGCCATCAGCTCAGAGCATATCTCACAAAGGTAAAAAAAATAAAAATGTTTCTTACCCTACATTGCATCAGGAATAAAATGTCATCAGACATGCTTCTTACTCGTCGATTCAGTGGCAAACCAGGCTTTTATCTTCATGAAGGGGCTGCTCTCCTCACTCAGATAGACCAGATAGGAGCATGGACAGTTCCTTGATGAAGAAGTTTATCAATGATGATAATAATGTTATAGAATATCTTCCAGATGACTGGCCTTCTCTCTCAGTAATCCACTAAAGCAAGTGTAGTCGAAAAACAGTAAAATCCTTTCTGGTAATGATCCTCACTGTTGACTAATTCTCATTAAAATTGAGGATTTTTTTTCCTTAGATGATGCAGAGCAACGAAATGCATGCTGTTCAGTTTTGTCTTGAAAAAAAAAAAAAAAAAAAAAAAACCCTGAACAGCTCCTGGTTTTGTTCAGTTATACTTAGTTATTTATTAAGACTTCAGAAAAACCCAGCCTTTGATTTACTCTTTGTGGCAGCCGTCTGAAGAGGCTTTCTCACGTTGACATGCTGTAATTCCAAATGCAGCGAACTACGTGCAGTCACACTATGTAATTTTAGTCCAGCCTGAAAAAGGATGAAAAGAAGTCTGCTTTCCTGGCAATACTGTGAACGCTGTCACACACCTGCATTCAGAGCCTCTGGAAAGAATTCCAAGGTATTCTTCGGAGCATTGCATAACTTAGCCAGGCAAATCTGGAGAGAGGAATGACAGTGGCTTTAGTTGCACACTGTGGTGAGCTGTGACATTGATTAAACATGCGCTTGGCACTTGCTGAATAAAGAAGGAGCTACGAGCCACCCTTGCAGACAGTGAGTTGCATAACAATGTGCGATGGCTCTGCTGTTTCATTGTCAGGCCTGGCACATTTTAATCCTGTACCAACAGAGAAAGTGTGCGGAGTGAAGAGGAGTAGAGTTAACTGTACGTCGGGCTTTTCCGAGGAAGTGCTGCATGACAAATGGTGACATTAAGGCATTCAAGCTGAAACAGTGTTTCTGCCTTTTGTCTTTTTATGCTTTGTTTGACAGGCGATTGTTTCTATGAGAAATACTGCTTCTTACACTTTTCCTCTTTTTATTCGCCACCCAAAGAATGCAGGTTACTGTGTAATTAGTGAAAACACAGACTTAAAGATTTTGCTTCTGATTTCTTAGGAAGCAGTAACTCAATTTTTCCTAGGTAAATCAGAGAGGCGTTTTTTGCCTGCCCTATTGGAAAGGGAGGAGGAGCTCTGCAAAGTCTTCTCTTCGTCCCAGTCTCTTCAGATTAAAGGCCACAATTTTAATAACCTCTGCAAGTAGCTGTGTTTCAAATAATTTTATTCAGTCATTTGGATCTATGAAGGCTACCGATGCAATGTGTTTTTCTGGGTATAGTATAGCTTCTTGATAGGAAGGCAACTATATTTTACATATATTGGAAAATTATTTTAAAAAATACTTGCAATATCAAGCAATTCAAAATTCGAAAGTACAAAAAGCTTATGCATATGGAAAATCAAAAGGTAATTAATTACTTTGAATTCAAACAGTAGGAATGTGACTGGAAACCTTAATCACTTTCCAGAAGAGCGTATTTTAGAAATTACAAAGCACTGTTTTGACATTCAATTTTCAATAATCTTTTTGTGAGAAAACAAAAAAAGGTAAAATCATTGCTTTAAATACTTCCATTTTCAAATTAATTTACTTACACGTTAAAATTTTTCCCTCATTGTTTTTCTAAAGTGTCTAAGTACGTTTGGTCCCTTCCAATCCCTAACATTCTGTGATTCTGTGATTTGTTAGTTTCTTAGTAATGGACAAAATGGCATATTTTACATGTGCATTATTTTAATGATAAATACCATGTTTGAAGTACCATGAATTGTATGGTGCTTGTACGTGATTTGCCATTTATCCTGCAAGTAATGTTGCCTCAGTGAAATTGTTTGACTCCAGAAAAATTATATAATTAGGTTAAATCTCTCCAGCATAGCTTCCTTAAAATCTGTTCTAATATGTGTGTATATGGTCTTTCCTTTTAAGCTCTTCCCTTATTCTGAAAAGGCTGCTGCAGCTTTAGTTGTTCCTGGAATTTTTTTCTGTCTATATATCTTGTACTATTTCTGTATTCATTTAGATCTATTCAGAGATACAAAGATGGGGAAACTTTCACATGTGTATTCTGACCATTCATGTTGGTCATTGTTAGAGCACCTAACAATTACTGAATTTTCAAGCCATTGTACTGTTTTAACCCTCACATGTTAAAAAATCAAACCCTTTCCTTTGTGAAAGGGGAGTAATTGTGCAATGTGTGTCTTTTATTTAAAGATTAATTGTGTACTTGGAGGGTAGGAATCTGTCACCTTGTCAGCACAACCAGGTATAGTGATTCAAGGTCAGCAGAAGAATTTGTTGCAATATTATCAGGCATAAATCATGACAATAAAGTAAATTCAACAGCTCCACTGCAAATAATTAAGATGTATCCACAGAGAGCAGCAGAAGATTCATGAAATATTTCTTGGCCTAGTTATTGCCGTAGTTGAGGTCTCATAGTGGTCTGCCGTTTTCATAGTTGTGATGCAACTGGTACTTCAGTGGCTAAGGTGAACCTGGGGAAACGAATCTCTCTGGCCTCCCTCTGCACGCAGTCGAGGGGGAACGACACCTCCTGCTCGCTGTGATTCAGATCCAGCATTTGCCATGGACCTTGGTTTAGCGTTTCTCCCCTTCCATCCTTCCATTGTATTGATACGCGTGTCTGTGCGGACATGCCATGAATCAGTTTGGAAAACAGACCCAGCCAAAACTAAATCTCTAGCACAGCACAGTAAGAGGGATGGGGCAGTAGCTGCTTAAGCTGTCAGTGCTAGCAAAGAGTTGCTGTTTGGGAAGGAAAAAAAAAAGAAAGGCTGTCAGGCTATTTCTGAATTATAAGAAACTTGAAGTATTCATCTATGCTGGATGAAAGCTGGTATTTACAAATAACTTCCTTAGAGCTACAATGCATCTCCAGCATGAAGAGAAAATTTGGTGCGAGATTTCTCACATTTCTCACATGAGTGAAGTGAGTAATATAGCTTGATTTGAAAAGGCCTTGATTTCTCCATAGTATTTGATGGTATTTGGAAAGATGGGGAGATATTTTGCATTTCCTGTAAAATAACATTAGAATCTAGGAGTACATTTTATACAAGTCAGTAATAAAACCATCTGTTTTGGGGCAGACATTTCATAGTTACATAGTATTTGGATTTGGACACTGGTATCCAAAAACGTCCTAAATTTAATTCTGTTACTTCCATCTAGGCAGAGCTTTCAAGCACTTAGTAGGACTTTGGCAACTCCTTGGTAGCTGATTTATGTAGCATCCCAAGAGCAGAACAAATTCTGTTGATTAGAGGTCATTCTGTTCATTACCACTAATGTTTGAGCATTTGTATTGCATGGGAATAGACCTTAGGCAATACAAATGTATGGCATATTTTAAAGATATTCGTACTTCAAGAGGAAGTTGCCAGGCTGTCTTGTAAAAACTCAGTGGTATAAATTTGACGATTTACAATCTTGATCCTTAGATGATAGATGCTATGTGCTACTGCTATGAGTAATGTGGTACACCCATAACACCAGATTTACCAAAGGAACGAGTACTCTTAACCACAGTGTAAGTGTTCTTTTTCCTCATGTGTTTTTATGGATGTATATGATTTTGATTTTCATGCACTTGTAAGAGTATTCTATATGCCGTATTTTTTCATTAAAATAGCATGTTTTGAGTCACATATTGTTTGTCCTTATAGAGAACAAACGTGCTGAAGAAAATTGCAAGTTAGAATGTAAAGGAAGATTTGAAGGAGAAAATGGAAAGAAAAATGTGAAGAGCTGTCTAGATGTAAAAATCTATTTAGGTTAAAATGCTGTAATGAAATCCAAAACATCATTCATACATACTGTTTTCCCTTATAGTTTTTCTGCATTTTCCCTAAGATGCATGAAACTGCTTGAAATGTAGTAGCACATGCATCCAGTAGGTGATTCTAGTTTTCTTCTCTGACACCCTCCACAATCTTCTCTTTATGAGATCTGACTTTTTTCAGTTAAATTGCAGAGCAATAGAACAAAGCTGTGTCTGTTGGAGATGCAATAGTATGCACAAATTAAGATGAACTGGTTTGCTTAGCGTAAGCGAGAAGTGGATATCCACGCTCCTTCCTTCTTCCTTTTTATTTTTTTTTTTCCTCTCTCCTGAGTACTAAACACAACTACTGTTTTCTTTGTGGGAGCTGTTAGCCTGGTTTTTGTGAGATAGATTGATATGTGATGCCCTTGAGTCAGCAGCAATGGGCATGGTCACTTTGAGCCAGGATTCAAAGTACTTTTTTTACACTTCTGTTGGAAAAAAGAGGAAGAACTTAAATCCTTTATCTGTGGCAACACACGTTACTTTTAGATTTCTTACTGTTCTCAGTTGCACCTCATTCATGTGTTTCATCTCAGCATTGTCTTGATGATTTTGACACTTGAACCGTGTCTACGTCTTGTTTTCCTTCTGATTGAGGAACTTCAGTGCCTTTTGGCTATTGTCTGGGTTTTTCTTCTGATTTTGTAACCTAGCTACTGACCCAGAATATCACTGGAAGAATTCGGGTTTCTCTCATAACTAACTACAGAAGTTCCTCTAGGTAGTTCCCACCTGTCAGTCTGCACTTACCAGAAATTTACTTGTTCCATGCCAGTCTGCCTTTGGAGGGTGTCGAGCAACATGTCACACATTTGTTTTGAGAGAACTATTTTAACCACTCTCTTGATCAACTGAAGCAACTCAGAAGTTGGTGCCTGATGAATGTTCCTGAGATAGAGGTGAGGGTTTCAGCCTCAACTGTGTGTGGTGACCTGGATATGGTGGAAGGTTTGAGTGTAGCTGAGTGCTTCTAGAGGAGCATTAGGGCTTTCAAGTATGAGGTTTTGAGCTGTCGTGTTCATAAATTTTGTTGTGTTAGAGAAGTCCATTAAGTGAATATTGAGTCTTTACTGGGCAAGCAAAGGGAAGCAGAGTAGTGAGAACTGATCCTAGTCCAGGAGAGTGGCTGTCTGAGAACAGTACTAAAACAAGTTCCTCTTTCTCCAAAGCCCTTATAGCATCTTACCTTATGAGAAAGAACAAATCTTGTCCGTACGAGTTTCCAGATGACTGATCTTAAAAAGCAAAACAAACCAACCTAGAAAATACCACTGTCCTAGCACCACCTTTTGCTACGTTTCTTTCCTCTGATTTGTCATCCTTAGTTGGAAATAGTTTTGAAATAAGAGGATTAAATTATTATCTCATGTAATTTCTTATTTCCTATTGAAAAAGAGTATGAATATATGCTTATTATATTTTGAAAACATTTAAAGTAGCATACTATTTCCTAGTAGGTAGTGCTTTTGGAATAGAACTTTAATAATGGAATTTTTTTTAAATGTCAAAACCAATTATCCGTTTGAGTGGTTAATAATATAAAAGATTTATGAAAGAACAAATTATAAACTTGTACTTCTAGCTCTACTGTGTTGCAGAAATTTGTTGTAATTTATAGGGAGTAATTATGAAGTATATATTGAAACATCACGGCATTGAGATCTCTGAGAACTAAAAACCTAGTTGTAACGAGGAACGAAGCGGCTTAGATTTGGGATGTAACTGGGTACTGGATTGCATGGCAAATAAAGCACTTAGTAAACGTCAGTCTTTAAAAGACTTCTTTCAAAGGGCTAATGGAAAT